CAATCTAGAAATACCGTATTCGTGTGAACACTTGCATGAAAAATGTAAATCACGCCAGGATTGAATAAGTAAACAATGTAACATCAATTTCCACTCTCTTTGATGGAGCTATGTAACATAGATAGGTGGATGCTGATCAATGATGAGAAAATGTGTCAATAAATTGGCAGATAGTATGAACTGTTCTACTTTTTATAGGATCCTTGCTCGTGGCATAATGGTTTTATATACATTGATGTTATCTGGGATATCCCTAGTCAATTCTGGCTGATGGGGGGATACTTGATAAATCTGCAAAAGTACTTTCTTTAAAAACAAACATACTCCGAAGGTATAAAATATATGTAACGGACCGTTTTGCACACAAGGGGTTAAAACCATTTAGGCGATCGTCCCCCTTTCCAGAGATGTAGGCACAGCTATTGTAAAACACCAAACTCACGAACCATCAATAAGGGAATGCTCCAAACTCCCGAACGGCATCCAATATAGCACTCCAAACACACGAACTGGAACCATACGAATCACTGCTAGCAGACGAATAGGAAAAGCATACAATAAATCCCCTCAAAGACAAGACAAGGCTCCGTGTTGAGGGTCAAGCAGTGGTCTGTTTAATGAGGGCTACCTGCCCAGTATTTATGCAGGTCTCCCACCTGGTGGACACTCCCCTAGGGGACCAAATGGGAGACTGTGACAAGGGACAGACAAGTAGCCAAATAGGATACACAGTCACATTGTATTCCCACAATGCATCCTGGCTTCCTCCCCTCTGCCTTGGAGATAATTGAGAAGTAATTCAATTATCTCCCAAGACAAAGGCAAATCGCCATTATGCACGTGGGGATACTAACACAGGAATTACTATTAAAATGCACTATGTGAGACACATAACATTAAAAGCATACATTTAACATATCCCCAGATAGCTCAAGTCTGAGCGCACATTATTAAGCAAATGGCGCTCAGACCACACGAATACAGTTTAATCGCCATGGAGCTAAAGTCTTTACACAGTCAGTTTCATGCAAATGGGCTCCATGGGATTCCTATCTGGGGTATAACACATTCAAGCAAAACTACCGAACACCGGGCCGTTCGTGTACTTTCACCGAACAAGAAGGGAGGTCGGCGGCTTCAGCGGTGTTCGCGCAAAACTAGTGTCCGATTTCAGTTCCATGAATTAAGCGTCGAACACCGCTGTGCATTCTCATGTTTAAAATGGCCGCGACCTCGTGTTCGTGATACGAATGGCGGCCACCCAGCTTTCGTCAATTAAGTTAATATCCTGAAAGCAAGGATATTTCAACTTAACAGTTTGGAACCATTTGGTCTTAATATGGACTTTGAGCTTAATGCTTTTTTATAAAATTGTTAATTTACTTTTTTTTTTTTATATAATTTTTTTTAAATTTAGACTAATTTTTTAAATAATTTTTTTAATTTTTTTAATTTTTTAATTAATAATTTTTATAAAAGTTTATTATTTATCCACTATATTTTCATATTATATATACTAGATCTATTATTAGTTTCAAAGGAATTTTTTGTTTATTTTAGATTTCTATATTATCTGCTAGATTTTTATCAGATTTTGGTAACACTTTCATTTTTTTGGACCATGTATGGTATTATTCCAAATGAATTCTTCCTCCCACTTGCCCATAAATAAATTGGCATAACTTGGTGCAAACCTGGTTCCCATGGCAATTCCCTCTATTTGAAGGTAAAACTGCTTTTGTGCCCAGAAAAAATTGTGGCTCAAGATAAAAGCGATGGCTTGTACAAGAAAACTAATCTGATCATTCTTTAACTCCGAATATTTAGCAAACGAATGTTGGATGGCTTCACATCCTTGAATATGTTCAATTATTGTGTATAATGAGGTAACATCCGCTGTCACTAGAAAAAAACCCTCATTCCATTCAATGTTAGACAATGTTTGAATCACTTGTGTAGTGTCCTTCAAATATGATGGTAATTTAGCCACCATTGGTTGTAAAAACTTATCCACATATTGGGAGAGGTTAGATGTCAATGAGTTAATACCTGAAATACTTGGTCTTCCAGGAGGGTGGGTAATATTTTTGTGTATCTTAGGTAGATAGTAGAATACTGCTGTCTTTGGATGTCGGCACCAAATATAATCAACATTCAGCACTCTAGATGTTTTGGACTATACCTGCCATGGAGCTTTGCCAGCATTATAGGTGTAAGAGCATAGGGTGTAGTCCACAACATCTGGAGCGCCAAAGGTTGCCTACACCTGTACTAAGATGTTCTTTGTATTCTGATGTTTACCTGTTAAAATGCTGGTGTCACAAATTGCTTACTACATGGATTTTATACCTAATACACCGTGTAAACAATATATTTCAGCTCATAATGGTTGAATATGATGATATGATTGGAATAAACAGTGTTTTTTATTGGAGTCTTTTAAGATAAAATACTACATTTTCTTCCACTTTTCTTTGCTTCCTTTAGGGATCTAAAAGGTTGCTGATGAGTTCTATTTGATCTCCTTTCTAAAAAGAACACCTGCAAACACCTAAAGCACTTTAACTCGTTGAGGTATAAGAAGTGTGTCCTCAATTTTTGTTCTACATAAAAATGCAGATTAGATTAATAGAAATTGACACTTGTATAAACATGTTAAAATGAGTGTAGGACATTGGGGTACTGTAACATTGTGGTGGGCTTAACACAATGCAGTGGTATGGTGTAACTGAATCCCCATATTTGTTGGCTGAGATTGATGATTTAAAGTAGCCTTGTAAAAAAAAAATAAAAAATTTTTACAATTCTTTATTATTCTTTATTTTTGTCGTGCATGGTATTACGGACAAGCTATCAATGCTCCGACAGCTATTGCAAGGCAAACATATTGATAACAGTGCACATTTTTATAGTAAGACATAGAGAGGCTAAGCATTCATATCCAGATACTAGGTGAGACTGTCGTTTTTTTGTCTAGGGTAAAGCTTCTAGATATGATGAGTGAGGTACATAGAGTTTAGTAGTTAAATCAAAAGAACACAGTGTAGTCTCAATAACTAAGTAAATTAAAATCAAACAGGCTAATCATTCTCTTAAAACAAATTAAAGATAGTGCCACTGGCTACTTGTTATAACTTAAATAGAATATCATAGCATTGTAAAGCAGAGTGGTAGCTATTCGCTAACATGGGTAATAGACAGTTACATTGTCCCAAGGTCAGTTACATTGTGCCCTCTCTCCTGTATGCTTTCCTGTGTTAACATCCAGCCTCAGCCTTGTGAGTAAGGTGATGCATGCCAAATTCAGGGCTTTCCTCAGGCTGTGCCCAGTCTATAATGGGGCCAGTGTCGCTCTTCGGAGAGTCTTTCTCCTCCCTTTGGCATGATCACAGGTTGCAAGGCACTCTGGCCTTTGACTAGCCCTCTGATTGCATGGATGGCGAGTTGAGCGCACCTTCGGATAGGGCCCCTGCCTAGAGCTGAAAGGAGAAACTGTTGCATTCTCCATCTCAGCAGGCAAAGCTTGAATGGGGGGGTCTGCGTTGTATGCCTGGCAGATCCAATTAAATTTAGCCCTGAAGTGCTCTCTTCATCGCTGGATCTCTGAGCCCTCTTGATGCTGTGGAGTTTGTGGTGCGGTCACCATCTTAGATTCGCCATGCAGTCTTTGGTTTGTGAGGGGAGATCTCTGCTGCAGGTAAATATGTTTCCCAGCGGGGACCGGGATATCCCCCATCGGTTCAAAGAAGGGGTGGCGGGGCTTTAGGAGAGCTGCTGTTTAGATCGGGCCCCGTTTCAGGGGATCGGCCGCCTCCCACGGTCACCAGGCCGCGATCCATGCCAGGCCTTATTCTTTGATATTAGAACCACTCGCCAAAATTTTGTAGACCTGCAAGCACCCACTTGTTTCAGCAACAGACCACCGTCTTACAAGGCTGGAAATAGCAAGATTTAAGGTAGTAAATGCTGATATTATGCTCATTAGTGCCATAGCTCTCAGAAGACACGTCTGGCCATCTTGGCTTTCATGCCATGGCCCCAGCCTTATAAAATTTAAAACTGTATTTTTATTTTTGTGCGTGTGCTGTTCCTTTAAAGACATTTGTCTATACAGTTTTTACTGCAGAACCCCTACTTAGAAATGTTCTCGGTGTGCACCCAATTCTGATTTTTTTCCATGTAGATTTGGAATGCAGACCAGAGTACCTATTAGTAATACAAGCATGAATTAGATTAAAAACAAAAGGAAGGTATGTAGACGAGGATAAAGGTCTAGCTGACTGCCTCAATCATAATTTTTTGTTCAGTATTTACAGATGAAAATGAAGGAAAGGGGCCTCGGTTAGGAAAAAGGAAAAGGGACAAATTAGTCATTTGTTGCATGTGAGTTTACAGAGGAAGAGGTTCTATTTCATTTTTTTTTAAATAATTTTTTTTGCTGTGCAGGTAAACAAAATTACAAACTGGCTCCAGGTACCCCAACGGCATTCCCTGAGCTGCTTGGCTTGTATAACAAATAGGGTAGTTGCTAAGCATTGCACATTTTTTGGTAAATTAGGTACAAGATAAAGTTACAGGCAGGCAGTATATTCAGTTTACAATTTCTTAGGTACATGCTTAGATATGAGAGATATAGCATCACCCCTTAGGGCCCTATAGCTACATACATATGAATGCAAGTAGTAAGACTGGAACATTAAGACAGGTAATATTTGAACATTGCCATATTAATACTGAGACAAGTGAAGACTATTTAGGTCATATTTATAGAGTCCCTTTGTGGCTGGTTAATTCAAGCCCTCTGAGGATTCAGCTTGTTCCCGCTGTTGTCCGGTGGTCTGCCGGTGTTGCGACTACTGCGGGGCTGGTTGACAGGTGCTGCACGACAGACCGCTGGACCTGGACCCCGGTGTGTCTAGAGGGTGGCGTGTTGCGGAATGGGGACTGATGGTCCCTGCTGTTCAGGTGAGCGCTGGCTTGCTGTGCCCCTTTTCCCGACGCTAGTTGCTGTTCCATCCCCTTACTGGAGCCGGGAGCTTGAGGAGAGTCACTCGAGGTAGGTGTCCTGTTAGGGTGCCAGGATGCGTAAGTGCGGCTGGACTTTGTGGGTGTCTGATCATTTGGTGCTGCTGAACCGCGTTGGTAGCAGCGTTTGTGGGGTGGGCATCTTTCATGCACTCAGATCTTGGGGTTAAGCGCACGGTCTCCGCCATCTTAGAGTCTGCATCTGGATTGCAGAGCGTTTTGGTAGTGCTGCTAGGCCTTAGTCTCAGTCTCTGTTGTAGTGGTCAGGGCTTCAGGGTGAGGACTGGGATCACCCCCGCCGGTCCAGAGGGGGGGAACGAAGCCTGTTCCTCGAGGGTTTAAGCCCCAGGCTGGACACTGTTCGGCAGGATAGCGGGGCGGCGGCCTTCCGCTCCACTCACCGCCGGAGTAGGCCTCAACTTCAGCATTGAAGATTTCTCCACCAGGGGACTAATACTCGTCGAGCAAGCCTCACCCTAGGTCCAGTGCACTCTGCCCGTCGAGGGCTGCTGTTGCTGACCAGTATTTTGGGCAAAAGTCGTAGTTTTGTGGCTGAATGGTTTAGTTTTTGCTGGAACTGGTCTGTCTTGCGACCATCCAGCTTGGCGGTCCGCCCCCGCCCCCGAGGTTCTATTTCAATTGTCAAAAGTAAAGACAAATAAGTTAATGGTAACTGATGGAATACACCCAAAGTTATTAAAAGAGCTTAGTGGTGTACTAGCAAAACCATTAACGGATTTATTTAACCAAACATTGTTAACAGGAGTAGTCCCAGAAGATTGGAAGTTAGCGAATGTTGTGCCTATTCACAAGAAAGGTAGTAGGGAGGAGTCGGGCACCTATAGGCCAGTAAACCTTACTTCAGTAGTGGGGAAAGTAATGAAAACCATGTTAAAGGATAGGATTGTTGAACATCTAAAATCACGTGGATATCAAGATCAGAGACAACATGGGTTTACTTCAGGGAGATCATGCCAAATGAATCTTATTGATTTTTTTGATTGGGTAACTAAAATAATAGGTCAGGGTGGTGCAGTAGACATTGCTTACCTAGATTTCAGTAAGGCTTTTGACACTGTTGCACATAGAAGCCTTATCAATAAACTGCCATCTTTAAGTTTGGATTCCAATATTGTTAAATAGGTAAGGCAGTGGCTGAGTGATGGGCAACAGAGGGTTGTAGATTGGAGAACATTCGAAGCATGGTCTTGTCACCAGTGGGGTACCTCAGGAATCTGTACTTGGCCATTCTCTTTAATATTTTTATTAGTGATATTGCAGAAGGTCTTGAGGGTAAGGTTTGTCTTTTTGCTGATGATGCTAACATGAGATATGTAACATGGTTGATGTTCCAGGCGGGATAAGCCAAATGGCAAATTATTTAGGTAAACTAGAAAAATGGTCAGAGTTTTGGCAGCTGACATTTAATGTGGATAAGTGCATCTTGGACGTAAAAACCCAAGGGCAGAGTACAGAATATTTGATAGAGTCCTAACCTCAACATCTGAGGAAAGGGATTTAGGAGTAATTATTTCAGATGACTTAAAGGTAGGCAGACAATGTAATAGAGCAGCAGGAAATGCTAGCAGAATGCTTGGTTGTATAGGGAGAGGTATTAGCAGTAGAAAGAGGGAAGTGCTCATGCCATTGTACAGAACACTGGTGAGACCTCACTTGGAGTATTGTACACAGTACTGGAGACTGTATCTCCTGAAGGATATTGATACTTTAGAGAGATTTCAGAGATGGGCTACTAAACTGGTTCATGGATTGCAGGATAAAACTTACAAGTAAAGGTAAAAGGATCTTAACAAATATAACTTAGAGGAAAGACGAGACAGGGGGGATATGATGGAAACATTTAAATACATAAAGAATCAACACAGTAAAGGAGGAGACTATATTTAACCCCTTAAGGACTGGACTGTTTTTGCGATGTTGTACATTTGCGACCAGGCATATTTTTACACTTTTGTGGTGTTTGTGTTTGGCTGTAATTTTCCGCTCTCTCATTTACTGTTCCCATACAAATTATATATTGTTTTTTCAGGACAAAAGGGGCTTTCTTTACATACCATTATTTATATAATCTCATGTATTTTAATTTAAAAAAAATAAAAAAATATGATGAAAAATTGAAAAAAATACATGTTTTTTTTACTTTTACTTGAAAAATCTTTTACTCATCTACAAAAGCGAATGAAAAAAACTGCTAAATAGATTCAAAATTTTGTCCTGAGTTTAAAAATACCTAGTGTTTACGTGCTTTTTTGCTTTTTTTTGCATGTTATAGGGCTATAGGTACAAGTAGGATATTGCGGTTTCAAAACATACATTTTAAAATTTATCAATAGTGACATTGTAACACTATTATCTGTCATAAATCTCTGAATAACACCCCACATGTACATATTTTTTTTAAAGTAGACAACCCAGGGTATTCAATATGGGGTATGTCCAGTCTTTTTTAGTAGCCACTTAGTCGAAAACACTGGCCAAAGTAAGCATTCATATTTGCTTGTGTGTGAAAAAAGTAAAAAAACTAAATTGAACGCTAATTTTGGCCAGTGTTTGTGACCAAGTGGTTACTAAAAAGACTGGACATACCCCATTTGCAATACCTTGGGTTGTCTTCTTTTGCAAATGGTATGCCATCATGGGGGTAATTCTCATTCCTGGGCTACCATACGCTCTCAAAGGCAACGTAACCAACCTGGCCATTTTCAATGTAAAAATATTTGACCCATATATTTGACCTTGTAACTTTCAAAAATGCTATAAAACCTGTACATGGGGGGTACTGTTTTACTCGGGAGATATCGCTGAACACAAATATTAGTGTTTAAAAACTGGAAAACGTATCACAACAATTATATCATCAGTAAAAGTGCTGTTTGTGTGTGAAAAATGCAAAAAAAGTCACTTTCACTGACAATATCATCGCTGTGATATGTTTTACTGTTTTGAATCACTAATATGTGTGTTCAGCGAAGTCTCCCGAATAAAACAGTACCCCCCATGTACAGGTTTTAGGGTGTCGTAGAACGTTACAGGGTAAAATACAGTGCTAGCAAATTAAATTCTCTGGAATTTCGGCCTGGGTTGGCAGGAAGGTCCCTCAAATTGCAATCAATAAAATTACTGAATTATGTAAAAATATTACATAAATACGCACGTAGAATTTAAATATATATGCATATTTATATATTTGAAGTCTACGTGTATATTTATATAATTATTTATGTAATTTTGTATATGGACGCATGTATATTTCTTATTATTTTTATTTATTTTTATATACATAGATATATATACAAATTCATTCTAAGTGTATTTTGATATAAATATATATATATTAATTTTAAAATACAGTTAGAATAAAATTTCATATAGCTATATAATTTTTTTAAATTTTTTATTATTATTTAAAAAAAAATGTATTTAATTTAAATTACTTATTATTTATATTTTATAATAATATATATATACAATATATATAGTTATTATATATATTATATATATACGTGTGTAATTTAATTATAAGTGTATTTTTATATTAATATAAGTACATACTAATATAAAAATACACTATGTATGACATTATATATATATGATATATAGACATATATTATATAGATATATTATATGTCTATATATCATATATACACATATATAATTATTTTTTTTTTATTAACACTAACTTTATTTTTTAAATGATTTTACACTAGCAGGGAGACTGCCTGTCAGCACAGACAGTCCCCCTGCAGGCAGACATATGGACACCTATTGTGACCATGTGATCGCTGTGTTAAGCGATCACATGGCCACAGGGGTCCTAATCAGTGTGGGGAGACTGTCTGGGCTGCAGGCAGTCTCCCCACAACCGGAGCCACGATGATCGCCGCCGGGGGAACGACGGCGATCAGGTAAGTAGCTCTGACCGTTAGGACGGTTCAGGTCCGTCATCGGTCGGCAACGCAAAAATGCCGATGACGGTCCTGAACCGTCCTCGGTCCTTAAGGGGTTAAAAGAAGAAAAACTACCACAACAAGAGGACATAGTCTTAAATTAGAGGGGCAAATGTTTAAAAATAATTTCAGGTATTACTTTACTCAGAGGGTAGTGGATGCATGGAATAGCCTTCCACCTGAAGTGGTAGAGATTAACACAGTGAGAGAGTTTAAGCATGTGTGGGATAGGCATAAGGCTATACTAGACTTAAGATAAGGCCAGGGACTAATTGAAGTATTTAGAAAATTGGGCAGACTAGATGGGCCGAATGGTTATTATCTGTCATCACATTCTATGTTTCTACCTGTTTGGTCGCGTTGAGAATGTGTATAGATAAGGATTTCTTATATCTACATCTGCAGGTTGTAGTGTGGTGCAAAAGCATTGAAGCTGGCTCAAAGGAAGGTGGGGCATCTGAGAAGTTTTCTAACAGTTTGTGTTTCTGTCTTTTCCCAGAAAGACCAGATAAGCCTGCACTTCCACCAAATGTAGTGGAGCATGCCCAGCTCATCTCCGGGGTGCAACCAAATTCTTAATGGTGATTGGTTTCCTAAATAGCTTGACAAAGATCCAAGTGTAGATTGAAACGTTGCTGTGTTTGCGGTGTTTCTCCAATAAAACTGCTGTTTGAAAAAGACCCTGAGTGCCTATGTATATTCCAAAAGAATGCAGGTGGTGATGGTTGTAGTGTTTCATTTTAGTTTGTTGATCCATACTGAAGATGTTCTTAAAAATATTTTGTACAGTCCTGAGAAACACATTAGCACTTTCTAACTAAATATTAAAATGTTCTGCAGATAAAATCTAACTCTTAGATCACTATTAATAATTCCAAATAAATACTTTATGGATGTAATTTGCGAAAATGCATTATTGTTTCGATGCAGAATATTCAATCAATCTGAAATTAAAATGCAGCAAGTTCTAAAAGCGCCAGGTGCTGTTGTTGAAGAGCCATAATCAGATTCCGTATGACCATCTGCACAAAATATATGTATTATTTAAGAAGATGCCAAGGCTTTTGAATGTTACATTTTGTTATTTCTGTACACTAACTGAACTTGTAAAACATTTGTTTTAATCAGGAAAAACACTGCTTTTCTTACCTAATGGCCAATTATATAGATACAATGTTATGACTATTCTTAGGACTCTAATATGCAGGATTCTGTTTGAACTATGTTTCACTGCTTGATGATAGAGTTTTATATTTATATCCTATTTTACACACAGAAGAAATTAGTGGAAAAAGTACATGGTAGATTTTGTTGTAAATGATACATTCAACATATTCTGAATGTAAATGAGTTGGTGAAATTAAACTAAAAGAAAATATCATAACCCAATGTTAGGGTTAAAAGGGACACTATAGGCACCCAGACAGATTCATTTCATTGAAGTTGCCGCTCTGTAAAACAACACTGGACATCTTCACAATTTGCATGAGGACATCCAATGTCTTGAAAAACTCTATAGGAAAGCAATGATTTAAAAGGCTCGCCGCGCATGCATAGTAAATTCCTCCCAATTGTTGACATTGATAGAGGCGGAGATAGAGATGGCACAGGAAAGACATAAGTGTTAGAAGGGCTTTTAAACCCTTTCAACACCGGGGGGAAGGGCGGCAGACAATAACCTTGGGCAGAGGAACACTATAGTGTTAGGAATACGTTTTGTATTCCTAACGCTATAGTTTTCCTTTAACAACTATTAGGCTTTACTATACATTTGGAAAACATGCACATTTCTTGAAATATATCTAACTTAACCCCTTAAGGACCAAACTTCTGGAATAAAAGGGAATCATGACATGTCACACATGTCATGTGTCCTTAAGGGGTTAAAGGAACAGGCACTCACTCACACCTAGAGGGATTGATGCTTAATTCTAATGAGTCTAATTTATAGTCCACTTTTTTCAGTTATATCATTTAGAATCACAACGCATTGCTGGACACAAAATATATATAGTTTTATGCTGTATTTAAATCCCACAAAGCATTCTAGTTCCATAAGAGGAATGCTTACATATTCAAATACTACATTGGAATATACATAAAGCAGTATAGTAAAATAAACCATCTTAATGACCTGTTATTAGATTTGCTTATGAATAAACAGTTCCTCTTCTTTGGAAGGAACTGACTGCTTCCAACCTTAAATGGATTGGTGAGAAGAATGGTTGCCACGTTATTATTATAATTATTATATTTATAGAGCGCCAACAAATTCTGTAGAGCTTTACAATGGGTGGACGAACAGACATGTAGTTGTAACCAGACAAAGTGGACACACGGGAACAGAGGGGTTGAGGGCCCTGCTCAATGAGCTTACATGCTAGAGGGAGTGGGGTAAAATGACACAAAAAGGTAAGGAAAGTATTAGGGAAATAGACAGTGAGGATTTTATTTTAAAATGACAGTTGCAGGAGAGGAATCAGGTAGGAGTCATTAACAGTTTAATTGATATACTTTTGTAAAAAAGTGAGTTTTTAACAATTTTTTGAAGGAGTAGAGACTGGTTGAGCATCTAACGGAAAAGGGAAGGGAGTTCCACAGGAATGGTGTAGCCCTAGAGAAGTCTTAGAGGAGAGCATCAGAGGTGGAAGTACGGACAGAAGATAGACATAGGTCTTTGGCAGAGCGTAGGGGCCTAGACGGGACATACTTGTGTATTAGGGAGGCTAGATAGATGAGAATAGCATTATCTAGAGATTTAAAAGCCACAGCACTCATATGAGTTATTTAGGGTAGGGGGTGTGCTCATATGCTTTCTAAATAAAGTTATGTTTGATCTAAAATGTATAAGACTCACATGAGCCAAACAGATCAATAAAAAGAAACGCAAGGAGAATTTTGTAGCATTGTTACTTTTTAAAATATACTATAAAATGTTTGGTGCTGTATACCAGTGCAGGCTTACAAACAGAATGATACACAGTGAAATACTGCATGAATTTTAAATTCATGAAAAAGAAAACAGATGTACTTCTTAGAGAGACGTATATATTAATATATTATTAAAAGAAAACCCTATCTGCCCCCAAAAATATCTTATTTATGGATGCACTAAAGGAGAAGGAGAGAAATTTACCAGATTGGTTATGTTGCCTTTAAGACCATTTGGTTTCCCAGGAATGAAAATCATGGCATACTATTTGCAAATGTAGACAATCCAGGGTATTCAAAATGGGGTAAATCCAGTATTTTTTAAAGGCCACTTAATCATAAAACCTGCCAAAGTTCACGTTCGTATTTGTTTTTTTGCATTTTTTACAAAACAAAAATCCTGCCCCTAGAGCAACTTTAGAGAGTTATAAGGTGGAAGTGTACATTTAAATATGAGCAACAATAAGGCTAATTGAAGAGCTCTTTGTGGAAAGAGACACCATCTGCGAGCAGTGATTACATTATTTGATACCTTTGTATGGTCTCGGATATGTATAGTGCATAAGGATCTAAACTTGTACCAAAATTGAAATAATCTCATGCAAAGTTGAAATAATTTTAGAATTATCTCAAAAATATAAGCAGACTCGGTCAACTATACATTTTATACTTAGATAATATCATTTGAAACGTATGAGCATTGTGGCATTTAATGTAGAATAACTATTTACAGAAGGAATCTTAAAACACCTACGTACAGAAACGGCACTGAAATATTAGAGTACATTAACTGGAACACCTAATCAATTATTTATGCCCCATGTGTTCCTGTGATAAATGTAAACTGGCATGATAAAAAGAATACTTAAATATCTATCGCAGAACAAGAATCCAAACAAAGCCTGTGTAAATAAAATTGCATTTTATACAATTCATGGCATACATTGATTTGCTGTTCTGTGTTTCGTGTATTTATGGTTCGAAAATACTACAATTTTGAATTGCACAGCTTACAAGTACATAAGTAATCAATGGTAAATTCGATTTCACAATATACATTGCTATAAATAAAACAAAAACAAATATTTAATGTCCTTTCCTATAAACACCACCTCTTACAAGTGTCATGATCGCTCTCCAAATTTACACACTGTTGATGACCAACTTTTGGTCACCCTCCATAATGTTGGTCCTATATGATTCCTTTATGTTATGGACCCTCCTCTTGCCTCCTTTGCCCTGTACCATGGCATCAATTGCCTCTCCTTTGTTTCTAACTGGATAACTTGTCTCTTTCTGAACCCTACACACTTCTCTCCTAAACTCTTCATTTAAGTAGCAAATTAAAATTTTAAAGACAACATTTAGGCTAAAATAGCCAGGTTGAGACTATAGTTGAGGTGGATATTATTTCAAATTAGTTACGTTTGCCTAATGTTTGCCATTCTGACTTTAATTCTCTACAATTTGAAGTTTAGTGACTAAACCCATAATCATTCGAAGGAAGAACTCCATGTCATTCCTTCTCTAAGAAAAACTACTCTCATTTCGGTTTCCCTCCATGTCTGGAACTCTTGACCTCCGTCTCACTCCTCTCTCGGTCCTTACACTAGCTCCTTGTAAATTCTAGGGTTCAATTCATAACCCTAGCACTCAGCAGGAGAACTAATGTAGGGAAGGCTCTGGTGCAATACATTTTTTTTTTTTTTTTGGAACCCCCGCCTAGCGCAAGGATGTTAGATCCTCAACTGTCATACAACACCAATGATGCTTTTGCAGCTTAGGATCAATATTGTCATAATAATAAAAACAAACTTATTTCAGTTGTAGAGGTGCAGACTATAACATTCAAAGTGCCACTTCAATTGTAAAAATGTACCTTTAAGCGATAACTGTGTTAGAAAGAGACAGTATTATATTTCTCTCTAAGATTTTGACAGTTCTGCCCCTGTCCATCCCTTTCTTCTTAAAGACTGACTCACTAAGTATAGATCAATAAACAGAAAAATAAAAGAGAGAGGTACTATATAATATCCCAAACAAAAACCAGAAAACAGTGCCAAACACCCAGAAGTGTACCTCACATACACCAATATAATATAGACAAAGGGGTAAATCTATACTGTATCAAATACTAGTATAGATTAAAGGGGTAGCACAAAAATCATGAACCATACAACCTGTATATAATATAACACAGTTCTTCAAAGAATCTAAAATATGAAAAGAATCACATAATAGTGAAGCATGTACAGAAATATATGATTCAATCCCGTAGGTAGAAAACTTACAAGACCATGCTGTAGATCTGCGCTTGTCTCCCTTCCATAGGGTATACAAATAGCGTTTCCTTTCTCAGTAGACTTGTATGTATGGACCAAAGTCGTAGATTCAAAACACCCAATCCTCAAAGGAAAAGAGGTATATAGAGCAGAAGTGAAGATTATAGCAGCATATCACCACTCACAAGTGGTACCGAGGAAAAGAAGTCCCTCTATGGTAGTATAAAAATATATAGGTAATAAAAAGTGAATATAATAAAAACAATAAGAGGAAAACAATAAAATAACAAAAAGGAAAAATGTTCCTGATCAATATCCAACGCGTTTCGTCTATGTAGACTTCTTCAGGGATAAGAAAATGTCCAGAGAATCCTTCTTTTATAAGCCTCCAAACAATCTTGAAATTACCGCGGAAAAACCTTCACTTCCGGGTTTCGGTCTTGCCTCATTTTGATTGGTTGGACGAGATGATCTTTTCAGACGGATGTAGAAAAAGAACTCACTTCCGCGTTCCATACTGGAACGCATAACGTCCATAGCACACAATACAATATCATTAGCGGTACTTCCGTGTTCCACCGTGGAACGCACGGAAGACCAAGCAGCCAATCGGCTGTAAGGAAAACAGGGCGTCCCAAGTTGGGCGAAAAAGGGGGGGCTATCTCTTATGATATATAAACTTTACCCAATGTAAAATATACAGAATACACAATATAAAAAATAAATAATAATAATCTGCAAAGAAATATAAAAGTAAATATAAAAGTAAACACAACAGTGTCTATATATATATGTAAGTATCACAAATACCAAAAGGATTATATATAGAGGAATCACAATTAAGAGGAATCACAATTAAGGCAACACTATCTATATATAAAAATGTCATAAATGCAACATATCATCCCCACAAAAGGTATAAGAAAAGTGTGGATCTATATATACCACCCATAAAAAGGTGAAATCAAGAATATACAATACCTGAGAAAGAATGTGTATGTGTATACACATACATGCATGCACATGCATCTATATATACATACATATATGCGCACGCACACACATCTCTATATCAAGAAAAAAATATATATACAACATCCACAGAAAATGTGGATATCCCAAAAAAATGTATATATATATAGCCACACATAAAGGGACACTCACATGGATATGATGCTATACACGCAAAAGGTCTTCACTAAGTATAGATGACTGACTAGAGATACTGCTGGGAACAGCTGTGAAAGAACATGGTCCATTTGTGGAACATGTCCTGCTGAGTACAAACTCCAGAAATATTTAGTCTGCTTCTAGAACTGATTTCTGCCATCACCCATTTAGTTTGCATTAGGATTTTTTGTACTATGCAGTTATTCACTAAAGTGAGAATTCAAGGTTAATGCAAAGACAATTTCAAATTTTAAGGTCAAAATAGGCAAACCGGAAAAAACCTTCTAAATCAGCTATGCTTCTGATTTGCCTTTTTTTCCTTAAATCTGAAATTCACTTTGAACTTATTCTGAATTTTCATGTCTGTAAATAACCCTGCCAGAGCTGAAGTGATAAGCAGTCTCAAAGGTGAATATTGTGACTTCACTCATTAAAGCGGCACTGTCATGCCTAACTTACCTTTATTTAATCGATTCCTCTTCTCTCCCTCTGCCAGGATCTGTTTTACATTTCTTCATGTCTGCTTTAGTTTTCTTTAAAACAAAAGACAAAGTAGGGACTACTTGTGACATGGAGGTTTCCTACGCCTGACCATCTATGACCAGCAGAAGAGCAAAGTGTGCTCCGTTTCCTAGAGAAATTTTCCTACAATTCTCACCTTTACATATTCCCAAACACGGGCAAAACTACAAAATTTCGTCCTAACAGAATGAGAGCATCTTGCAGCCGCTTAGTAGATAAGTCCAAAATTCCCACGGTATCAGGGAGCTATCTACCAAAAGACTGAAAGACCTAAACTGGTCTTTCAGCCAACTTTACTAATACTGAGTAAAAATCACTTAGTATTAGTAATTAATCTGCCCCTGTTGTAAAACAATATAAAATAAATAACTCGCCTGGGGGGACACATTGGCGGATCCGGGGGCAACGGGGCAATTGCACCCCTCCCCCGAGACTCTCTCCTGCCAGCTAATGCAGGGCTGGCATTGTCCAAGTGCCAGCCCTGCTATGTGCCTGCGGACCGGGGAGGGAGATCAGAACTCTCCCTCCCCGGTCCGCAGGCACCGTGCTGACAGCCGGCAGGGCAGGGAGAGGGAGGAGAGAGGACCCGGGAGCTCAGCCTGCAGCTCCTCCGGGTCCTCCTCTTGCGAGATTTGGAGCGTTGCCGCGGTTACCTGGAGCGGCGGGCTAGAGTTCACCCCTCCTCCCAGTAAAGGTAAGAAGGGAAGGGGGACATAAATATATATGTTTTATTAAATACATTTTTTTATTATTATTATTAAAAAGCCTCCCTACCCTCCTTCCCGCCCATACAAACACTGTCCCCATACACACACTGCCCCCATACACACACACTTTACACCCATACACACACTGCCCAACAAACACTGCCCCCATACACACATTGCCCCACACACGACGCCCCATACACAGAGTGCCCCCCATCCACACACTGCCCCACACATAGATACAGTGCCCCTCCATACACACACTGCCCCACAAAGACATACAGTGCCACCCATACACACATTGCCCCCAAAACACATACAGTGCCCCCATACACACACTGCCACCCTCACACACACACACACTGCCCCCTAACACACACACTGCTGCACTCACACACACACTTCACCACTCACACACTTCACCCCTAACACACACCACTGCTCCTATGCCCTATATCCCAGCAGACCCCAGGTAAGTTGTCAAACTGTTCTTAAACAGTATGACTACTTACACTGGGGTGGGATCCTGGCACTACTGGCACAATAACTACTACACTGAGCTGTAGTGGTTATTGTGCCTGGATTTTTTATTTAAATAATCTACAAGTTCCCCTCTCGAGATCAGGCTCTGGATCCGCCACTGGGGGGACATGGGGGGGATCTCTTAACTAGCCTGGGGGGACATAGTGTACCCCACAAGCCCCCACCTGTGCCCCACGAGTGGGGGCTATTCAAGTAAACGGGGGGAAATAGGATGTTCCTTGAGCGTGTATTTCAGCTAGTGGCTGCTCACTGTTTACTAGACATGTCCCTACTCACGGCATAGCAAGTAGGGGCATTCAGGAGATTTTAATCTCCCTTATGCTATTATGGGGGTCATATTCACCCCCATAGAGTGACGGAGGACATGGGGGGCTTAGGAAGTGGCGGGGAGCACTGCTCCCTGCCACTTCTATTTTTACCTATTACAAGGCGGGAGCTGGGCGCCAGTAGCTCCCTCCTTGTAATAAACCAAACGAACGAATGAAGAGGTCTTTGTTTATTCGTTTTAAATTTCTATTCATTTATTCATCTTTCTGACGAATCAATGAATAGAGGAAATTCCCATTCACACAGTGTTTAACTCGGCATGCGCAGGAATTTCACAGCGCTATCTAGTGTGGGCAGAGGACGTGTCCCACTGGGACTTCATCTACCCACACAAAGATGGAGGCGCCCAGGACCTAGGTCTGGGTACAAAATAACGATGAAAAAATAGGTAATATGGGGGGCTTGGGGCATTTGAGGGTAACAAGGGGGACAATTAGATGTAGTGGAGTCGGGAGGGGGGATAAAAAAACAAAACAAAAACTGGATTCGGCCATGGCAGTGCCGCTTTAAAATGGGGTCACATTTTGTTTGCAGCTCTTTGATGTTGTAAATATATATTGCACCTGTGATGCAGAATTCCTAACACCATACTATATGTCCCGGGCAGGCATTTTTAATCTGCCTTTAGCCCTACCGCAGGGAAGCAGCAGGGCTTGTATCGATAGCAGGGCCACCATCAGGAGGGGACAACCATCACACTGGGGCCTGCACACTGAATACTTGGGCCACCCGATGGGCCCTATATGTTCAGGGGCGCGGTCAGCAATGCGGCCGTGTAATAGTGCGACTGGGGCCCTTTAAAAATTGCAGCCACAAGTTGGGCTCACTTCACCCGGGAAGGGGGAAACAGACTGGAGGCCGCAAGGAGAGGAGAGGCAGCTGACTCCCATCATCCCCAGCCATCCTCCTGCAACAAAAAGGTAAGGAACTGGATGGTGGCTGAAAAATGAGCTGTATGTGTGTATGTATGTGTGTGTGCATGTGAATATGTATGTGTGTGTGCATGTATGTCAGTATGTGTATGTATATGTCAGTATGTATGTATGTATATATCAGTATCTGTGTACGTATGTATATATCAGTATGTATGTATGTGTGTGTATGTATGTACGTACGTCAGTATGTATGTGTGTGTGCATGTATGTCAGTATGTATGTATGTATATACCAGTATGTATGTCTGTATATGTGTGTATTTCAGTATGTAGGTATCTATGTCTGTATTTGTGTGTATGTCAGTATGTCTGTATATGTGTTTATGTCACTAATGGGGAGGGTTAATGCAGACACACTAAGGGCACTGACTAGAGGTAGGGGTACTAGAGGTAGGGTTATGGCAGATAGACTTTTTTTATTTCTGTTTTTTCCAATTAAATATTTGCAAACATTTGGAGTTTAGTGAACAACTCTGTCTTCGTCCAGGACCCCAGTCTGAAATTATTTAGTATGTCAGGACAAGACGATTGGAATATCGTTTTAGTCCCTTGGACAAGTAGACTTAAAAATAAAAAATAAAATTCCCACACCTCTGTTACACTTATATATTACTTAATACCCTTATTGAAATTTTGGCAAACTACTCTAATTTCAGCAGAGTTTTTGTGGAGGTGAACATTGCCGTTTTTAAAGTGAAAAGGTGTTCTTACTTATATTTCAGTCTGTGCTAAGACAAAAGCATAAATCTTGCATATTTTTGAATTAGATTGTCATTCCTATGCAGCTCTATATACAGATAACAGGTCCACTGCATATAGTTGAGATAAAAGATTCCGCTTTATCTACTAACTCATAATGAGAAGCTTGGCTTCAACGACTGAGCATAACTATGCATGAATGCAAGAGTTGGATAACTAGTCTTCAGTTAAGTTAGTGTCTTTTTATGTTGACAGCTGAGTTCAGATGTTGTACTTGAGTATTAACCAGGCAGGCGACAAGATCACAACACCTAAATAATGATGAAAGTAGACTACAAACAAATAGTGCAGTAGGACTGCTGGAATTTTTCTATGTACATATTCATGCCCCTGAACATTACTTATGAGTCACACTGAATAAATAAGGAAAAGATGACTTGGCTCTATCACTTGAAAAGGTCTCTTGTGGGCAGAATTGTTAGCAGTCGGTGTAATTCACATATTATGGCACATGAAGAACATTCTCATATGCATACAGAATTAAATGTAGTCTGTATGAATTCATTTGCTTGGTTAAAGGACCACTATAGTGCCAGGAAAACATACTCGTTTTCCTGGCACTATAGTGCCCTGAGGGTGCCTCCACCCTCAGGGTCCCCCTCCCGCCCGGCTCTGGAAGGGGGAAAGGGGTAAAAACTTACCTTTTTCCAGCGCTGGGCGGAGAGCTCTCCTCCTCCGATCCTCCTCTTCTCCTCCTCCTGGGCTGAATGCGCACGCGCGGCAAGAGCTGCGCGCGCATTCAGCCCGTCGCATAGGAAAGCATTCTCAATGCTTTCCTATGGACGCTGGCGTGCTCTCACTGTGAAAATCACAGTGAGAAGCACGCAAGCGCCTCTAGTGGCTGTCAATGAGACAGCCACTAGAGAATTAGGGGGAAGGCTTAACCCATTCATAAACATAGCAGTTTCTCTGAAACTGCTATGTTTATAAAAAAATGGGTTAACCCTAGAAGGACCTGGCACCCAGACCACTTCATTAAGCTGAAGTGGTCTGGGTGCCTAGAGTGGTCCTTTAATCAAAGCACTCTTGTATTTCTGCATTATTAGCATTGTCTGTTCTGCAAATATATCTACACACTTCTCTATTTATCCATAAATAACTTCACACTGTATATAGAGAAACACCCAACCGGTAATCCACAGGATAATAAAAGACTAAATGAACCCTGTCTGGAATGTCCCTTTCAACTAAGATGTTTGAATGGGTATTATCTTTAATATTATGTAGTTTCAAAACACTACCCGGTTGATCTAAATCCATTACTACATATATCAAGAGTGCACAATTATTTATCAAAAACCGTAATGGAATGATGAAGAAATATATACCTCCACATGTTCACTATTGGTCAGACACATACATTCACAATGTTAATTCTGTAAAATACAAAACCAGAATTATTCTGTGTTTAAGTGCATACTTATATTAACCAGAAAAAAAGTGTAAGAAGCAAACAATTCTAATATATATTTCTGGGGAAAAAAATCGGAATATTCTTGATCCTTAAGATTCCATGCACTGTTTCAGGTGTGACATTTCAAGAACTAAACACAACAGTCACTAAAATGTGTTTAACTGCCACTCTATCCTTTACTCATCCCCTTCCTTAACCTATTTCATGACCCACAATGACTTCCAGAATAATGCTTGTTATCAAGGTAATGGTGTAGGCAGCAGCAGTCAAGTAGATATGAAATGCCAATATTGCAGCACAGAGAAAATCAAATGTTCAAACCATGTATTCTAAAACTACTTCTGCTAAGTGTGAAAGACTGGCAATGTGAGCAGTACGAGGGAGCCATCAGCCATGCATTCAACACATACAGGGTTCTACTTGCTAGTTGGCTTGGTAAATTACATAAAGATTTTATTTCAATAAATGATATAATATAGAGCAATATTGTATTACTAATTAAAGGCAATTCTCTATAACTTTCACTAACATAAGCACTAAAAGCATCACGTGGTGCGTATTCTTTTACTCATATATCTGGCATATTTTATATAGCTCAAAGGTATCTAAGCACCAGAACCAGTACGCTTAATATAGTTGTTGGAATGCAAACAGCAGTGTTTACATAGCCTCCTATAACCTCCTCTAATGGCTGTCACACAGACAGCCACTAGAGGGGCTTCCTGCTCGTGCCCTGCAATATCTGCAGAACCAACAATTAGCATATTTACATTCTGCATTAAGATGCTGAATGCTCAACTCTACACATATATGTATTTTGTCAATCCATCTCTATGATGAGATGATGATTAGCGCAGCTTGGCAATTGCCACACATACACACTAGTCCCCCAAATGACTCCTATGTTGAAGCACTGGATTGGCCAAGATTATCAGTAATGATGACCTCAACCAGGGAAGAAGTGGTGGCCAAGGTCATAATAAAGGAGAATAGATAAGTCATGTTCCTGGGGGCCTCAATGAGTAAAAAAACACTAATATTAGGAATAAATGTTTGTATTCCTAATGCTAGCGTGTTCCGTTTATGATGAAATGATATCATATAAATTAAATATATGTAAATAAAAAAAATAGGAAAAACTGGATTTGCCTCATAATGGCAATTCAGGCAGTTACTTGGTGGAGTTTAGAGGCAAATTTAGAGATTCTTAAAGGAACACTATAGTCAAATAAAATTACTTTAGCTAAATAAAGCAGTTTTAGTGTATAGATCATTCCCCTGCAATTTCACTGCTCAATACACTGTCATTTAGGAGTTAAATCACTTTGTTTCTGTTTATGCAGCACTAGCCACACCTCCCCTGGCTATGATTGACAGAGCCTGCATGAAAAACAAAACTGGTTTCACTTTCAAACAGATGTAATTTACCTTAAATAATTGTATCTCAATCTCTAAATTGAACTTTAATCACATACAGGAGGCTCTTGCAGGGTCTAGCAAGCTATTAACCCCTTAAGGACTGAGCCAAATGTAAACGTTGTGAACAAAACAAAATGTAAACAAAACCTGGCATTTGCGTTACATGTCTGTCAAACCGTAATTCACCTCTTTCATATTAAATGCACCCACACTTATTATATATCATTTTATTCAGGGGAAACAGGGCTTTCATTTAATATCAAATATTTAGCTATGAAACATAAATTAATATGAAAAAAATGGGAATTTCTTTTTAATTTTTTTTAGTTCTACATAACATTTTAACTGAATGTCATAATACTGTTTGCTTTTACTGCAATAAAATACACATATTTGTATTCAGCAAAGTCTCACGTGTAAAACAGTACCCCCTATGTACAGGTTTTATGGTGTTTTGGGAAGTTACAAGGTCAAATATAGCATGTTACATTTGAAATTGAAATTCGCCAGATTGGTTACGTTGCCTTTGGGACTGTACAGTAGCCCAGGAATAAAATTTACACCCATAATGGCATACCATTTGCAATAGTAGACAACCCAAGGTATTGCAAATGGGGTATGTCCAGTCTTTTTTAGTAGCCATTTGGTCACAAACACTGGACAAAGTTAGCGTTAGTATTTGTTTGTGCGTGAAAAATGCAAAAAATGCCAATTTTGGCCAGTGTTTGTGACTAAGTGGCTACTAAAAAAGATTGGACATACCCTGTCTGCAATACCTTGGGTTGTCTACTATTGCAAATGGTATGCCATCATAGGGGTAATTTTTTCATTCTTGGGATACCATAGGGTCTCAAAGGCAACGTAACCAATCTGGCGAATTTTAATGTGAAAAAAATGAAACACAAGCCTTATATTTGACGCTGTAACTTTTGAAAACACCATAAAACCTGTACATGAGGGGTACTGAACACAAATAGTTGTGTTTCAAAACAGTAAAAAGTATCACAGCAATAATATCGTCCGTGTAAGTGCTGTTTGTGCATGAAAAATGCAAAAAAAGTCACTTTTACTGGTGATATCGTTGTAATAAGTGAGTAGTGCATTGTGTTGATCTTATGCATAAACTACATATGCGGACATTTAATGTAATAAGATTATCATGACATCACTGTATGCAGTGCATCATAATGCTTATATTGCACCAACAGTGTGACCTTTTTGCCTACTAAGGTGATGTTACTTTTCCTATGTATTCCTTATTTCCTGTAAGAAATTAAAAATTATAAATTGCCAAAAAATAAAATAATAATGTTGAGTAGAAGGGTGCTTTGTAATAAAGGTCAGAGCTGAGAAGAGTTGTGAAATACTGAAAGAAAGAACAGAGGTACATAAAATAGTTGATCTACTAGTAATGTAATCTGAGGGAAAGTTTGAGTAGCTCAGTTCTACAGATACTAATGTGGCAATTTAAACACCATAACCACTATGGTTTGAACTTAAACTGAGTCCCCGAGGCATCTTCAGTCTGCCCCCCTCTTCACATGTCACTAAATGAGAAGTACCTAAGTCCACTTTAGTGGCAGATGTTTTTCCCATTTGGCTGTAACTCATTGTCAGTGCGCTTTAACTGACATTCAGCCAATGAAACTGATATGTCAAAGATGGAAGTGGAACATCTGTTATAGGCATATCTGAAAAGGAGGTTTGACTGCAGATCTTAAGTAATTGTAAAACCCTTTCAAGATCATTTGACTACGTACTTGGGCATGGTGCATGGGGATTCCTGGCATCAAAAGCAATTAAGAACACTGTAGAGTATATAATGGGTAGAGTGCCCCTTTAAGTTAGTATAAAGGAACAGTTTAAGAGGGAAAGTGCATCTCACCTGAATTTATTGCCATACATGTCCAGAATATCCATGGTCAGTTTAAGTTGCCTCTGAAGGATGTATATTTAGAGGTCAGAATTAATGTGGTAAAAAGCTCCATGAATAGGTTCAGAAATATATAAATGCCAAAACACATTCACTTGATAAGATGTAAGAGAGTCAGGCAACTTTTACCACAGCCTCATTTATATATATATATATATATATATATATATATATATATATATATATATATATATATATATATATATAGTATATATAAACTGAGGTATGCAATAGTCACAGGGCCATTCACTGAAGGCTTTTTATGCGAACTTAAGTGGCCCATGTCAACTTTCAAGACATCATTCAATACTTTCATATGAAACCTTTCCCAAAAGTTGAAACTCCCCATTCACAAAACTGGCTTGGAAAGGGGTGGAAGAACAGCTCCTGCGATTTTTGGACAATTCTGTCCAAAAAAAGAGGTGCTTAATGCTAATACAAACAAGGCGGAGTATCTTACATATAGCTCTGAATGCTTTTAGCTTCAAGGAATGTAGTCCTATAATTGAAACAAGGAAAACAAACACAGGTGCAATATTGTCTGAATATGAGAATAAAAGTAAATTTAAACAGGTATTTACACTCACAAGTGTAGAGCCAGTGGATTTGGCTCAAACTCTAAGCATTGTGGGATTGTTCAGGGTCTCACTCCCTCTTCTGTATGTTGTAGTGTTATACGGCCATTGATAGCAGTCACCATTCCAGTAATTTTCAAAGTGCTTTATTTCGCCAAACTATGCATAAAAGTATTTAAAACAATAAATGTTAGAATAAAACGTCCTTACAGAATGTATGGTAAGTCCTTTCAAAGTGAAAAACGCGTTTCACCCCTCTTGGGGGGCTTCCTCAGTTACTGTAATCCAGTTCATCTTGCTACCTTTCTTTCAAAAATTGAATACCCACTGTTTTTCCGGTGTCTTCAATTACAGACTGATTCTTCCTGTTCAGGATTTGCGTGCGCAGTGTCTCTGTGCATCCGACGTACCTCTGGTTTACTTGGAAGCTGCAACGCATACTTGAGTTCCATTGCGATCATATTCACTTCCTATGTGTTGCTCGTATATTACCCTGTTTGGAACGGATTGTTGCGTTCCACCACCTGTTTCACAGTTTAGATTGTCCATTAAAGGACCACTATAGGCACCCAGACCACTTCAGCTTAATGAAGTGGTCTGGGTGCCAGGTCCAGCTAGGGTTAACCCTTTTTTTTTATAAACATACCAGTGGCTGTCTCTTGACCTCCGCTAGAGGCGCTTGCGTGCTTCTCACTGTGAAAATCACAGTGAGCAGATGCCAGCGTCCATAGGAAAGCATTGTGAATGCTTTCCTATGGACTGGCTGAATGCGCGCGCGACTCCTGCCGCGCATGCGCATTCAGCCTGAACAGGAGGAGAAGAGGGAGGAGAGGAGGAGGTTTAACCCCTTCCTCTCCCCAGAGCCCGGCGGCACCCTCAGCGCACTATAGTGGTCCTTTAAGAAGTTCAGCATGATACATATGGTGGGGAAAAGAAGCAGAGGCAATATAATAGGTAATACATATCCCATTAAAATAATTGTATAAAACAATTGCAGTAATATGTTAAAAAGAGAGAACATGTCACATTAAGATTATATTGTAAAATAATTATGACAGTGATATGTTAAAAGAGAAAATTATGTATTTTGCATATATATATTAAAAACTATTAGTATGGAAGGATGCATTGATATATAGGAAAAAGCAAATATGGGAAATTCAATATTAAATATATAAGAGTAAACTAAAAAGATTCAGGAGAAAAGGCTTTTTGGTATTTTCCCACGTGCATAAAAATAGTCTAGTGTGCAAAACATATATGTAAAATAAATAAATTATTCTGAAGGTTAAAATGTTGTTAAAAATGACACACTTCAAAGTCAGAATTTAATCCATACGCAATTAGTGTATGGGAATTAAATATGAATCTCATTTCCTCTCTACCTATTCTTTTCACATAATCGCCTCCTCTCAATTTTTTTTTTACTTCTTTTATTGCACAAATCTGTCTGTTAAGAGATGAGAGACGCTATGTGTTTCTATCCCATTCTTTATGTTCCTGACGTGTTCAGCAATCCGGACCTTTAGTGGTCTAATAGTCCTACCTACATACAGTAAATTGCATGGACATTTTAATAAATATATAACTATTTTGGAATGGCATGTCAGATGTTTTTATGGTATATGCTTTTTTTTATATTATCCCCTATATCCACTAGGTGTCTTCTTTTCTTTTTAGTTTCCCTACATGGTAGGCATAAACCACATACATAGAATCATGTAAGATTCTGTAAAACGTAATTAGGTTTTTTTGGACTCAAATGACAACTAAAATGTTTTTAAAATGTTTTGCTCCTCTAAAAGTGATTTTCGGTACTGAGGGTAAAATTTGGTTTAAAATTGGGTCATCTCTTAATAGGTGCCAAATGTTTTGTAATTATTTTTTGTATTTGTTTATCTTGTCCATAATAATTGCAAATAAAAGGTACTTCATTTATTTTTAACATTCTGTTTGTTTGTCTATACTTAATGAGATCTTTTCGTGGTTGTTTCTCAACTTCCTTCAGGTCCCTTTCTAATGCTTCTTCATCATAGCCCTTTTCTAAAAACAGTTTTTTTTCAAATAGTTTGCTTGTTCTATGAAGTCTGAGTTTTTATTGCAATTGCATCGGATTCTAAGAAATTGCCCCTTAGGGGGATTGTCTAGTCACGGTCTATGGTGGCAACTAGTTTTCTCAATAGAACTATTAGCATCCACAGGTTTAAAACATTCTTGGTTACTATTGTTGAGTCCTTGATGCTAATGTGCAAATCTAAAAAACAGAACTATTGGCATTGGTAAGTTTTATTCCCCATTCGTTAAGTTAAGATATTTTATAAAATCATTTAGTTCTTCTCCAGTTCCTGTCCATAAAAAAAAAAGATATAATTTATTTTGTTAAAAAATGTTTCACTGCTTCTATTCCTTTATTGTGTGGGATGATGCTGTAGAGCGAGGAAACGTCCACTATATCTTCTCCAAAATTTGTAAGACATGAATAGTGTCTTTTAGGAAACTAGGGTTTTTGATCACTATGGGTTGTAGTAAAGTGTCAAATATGTTCAGATATTCTTGTGGAGATAGAATTAATGCCTGATATGACTGGTCTACCTTGAGGTTTTTTTTTGTGCCCTTATGGACCTTAGGTAGATTATAAAATACAGGTATTTTTGAATTGGCTACATTTAGATATTCTGCTTCCTTCCTCTATGTATTTTCTGAAAGTAATTAGTATTTCTCTTAATGGGTTTTGAGGTCATTTTTTTATATGTTAAAGAATCAGACAGAATTCTTTCTGCTTCTGCAATATATTGCTCTTTATCAAAAATCGCTATTCCCCCACCTTTATCTGCCGGTTTAATTATCAAATCTTTACCTTCGGTATCTTTCTGAGAGTTTCTTTCTCTTCTGTGGATAAGTTTTGTTGATATCTATTAACTTTCCTTATTTTTTTCTACCTCTTTCATCACTATAATTTCAAACATTTAAATTTTGTCTAAAATTAGGTGTCTGGGAAAGAACGGATAATTTTCTTTCAGTGTTGTATGTTGGAATTCATCATCAGCTACTCTTGGTGGATGTTCTTCCTTCTTGAAAAAAACAAAACTTTTTAGGCCAAGTTTAATAATAAACTGGTTCATGTCAACAAAACAAATCAAAATGTTTAAAAATCTGCATTAGGGGCAAATGTAAGACCTTTAAAAAAAAAATAAAAAAATAAAAATCCTTTGTTCCTTCATTAAGGGTTGATTGGACAAATTAAAAATTCCTTCTACACTAATTCCTTCTACATTGAGGTCCTCCCCTTCTTTTCTCTGTTTGTTTGTGCTTTCTTCCGCTCTTCTTTCTCCTTCTTCCATGGATCTCTGCCGTTTTTCCGGTGTCCGCCAAGATCAAGTGTTCGGTATCCATTCCCTTCTGTAATGGAATTGGTTCTTTTGAAAAAAAGAAGGGGAAGGAGGGGTGTCTACGAGTGGAGATCTATACATTTCTTGGTTGCTGTTTGAAGCTTCCGGTGATTTTGGTCTTCTTGTGAAAGTCTTCTTTATAGACATTTCTTTTTCTACTCTTCTCCTACGGATACCTTTCACTATATCTCTTAGTTTGAGGTTTATGAGAGTTAGTGTGTGGTGGTCTACTTAGTTCATATAGAGGTTGTTTATCATTATTTTGTTCCCTCCTTATTCTGCCCTCAGATTTCCCTATGTAGGACTTCCTAGCGGGGGGATCCTGATAATTATTTCTCCATTTAATTTGTTTTTTCAAATGGTGGGTGTTTTGATGTTTATTCTCTCTTTTAATGTTCCTTATATTGCCTGTTTTATAGTCTGTCAGGTCCCTTAGATATTTTTTCTTTTTTTTATTACATCTGATTCGATTTTATCCACTTTTATTTTGATTTCCTTAAGGCTAGTGCTGTATATTTCTGGGCTTGTGGTTTCTATTTGGTTATTCTTCCATTTCTTAATTCAGTATGGATTAAATTCTGACTTTGAAGTTTGTTATTTTTAACATCTTAACCCCTTAGAATAATTTATTTATTTTACATATATGTTTTGCACACTAGACTTTTTTTTATGCACTTGGAAAAATAACAAAAAGCCTTTTCTCCTTGTTAGTGTGTTAGTTTACTCGTATTTTTAATATTGAATTTCCCATATATCAATGCATCCTTCCATACTTATTGTTTTTTATATATGCAAAATACATAATTGTTTTTCTTTTTTTAACATATCACTGTCATAATTATTTTACAATATAATCTTAATGTGACATGTTCTCTCTTTTTAACAAATTACTGCAATTGTTCTATACAATTATTTTAATGGGATATGTATTACCTATTATATTGCCCCTGCTTCTTTTCCCCACCATATGTATCATGCTGAACTCCTTAACGGACAATCTAAACTGTGAAACGGGTGGTGGAATGCAACAATGCGTTCCAAACAGGGTAATATACGAGCAACACATAGGAAGTGAATAGGATCGCAATGGAACGCAAGGATGCGTTCCAGCTTCCACCAAGTAAACCGGAAGTACGTTGGACACACAGAGACGCTGCGCACGCAAACCCGGAACAGGAAGCATCAATCAGGAATTGAAAACAGTGGGTATTCAATTATTTAAAGAAAGGTAGCAAGAAGAACTGGATTACAGCAACTGAGGAAGCCCCCCAAGAAGGGTGAAACGCGTTTTGCACTTTGAAAGGATTTACCATACATTCTGTAAGGACGTTTTATTCTAATATTTATTGTTTTAAATACTTTTATGCATAGTTTGGCGAAATAAAGCACTTTGAAAATTACTGGAGTGGTGACTACTATCAATGGCTGTTTAACACTACAACATACAGAAGAGGGAGTGAGACCCTGAACAATCCCACAATGCTTAGAGTTTGAGCCAACATCCACTGGCTCTACACTTGTGAGTGTAAATACCTGTTTAAATTTACTTTTATTCTCATATTCAGACAATATTGCACCTGTGTTTGTTTTCCTTGTTTCAATTATAGGACTACATTCCTTGACGCTAAAAGCATTCAGAACTATATGTAAGATACTCCGCCTTGTTTATATTAGCATTGTGAATTTGTTGGTGTGGGTTAAGGGGACCCCACTTAGGTATTAGAGTATCTGATATTGTTTACTGAACCCACTGGGACTTTGTATTTTGACTGTTTTTTACAAAGAGGTGCTGGCCCAGAAGTCTGACCAGAAATCTGTGTTTTGGCCCCTCTAGGGGTGAAGTACAAGCTCTGTGTCCAAGGCCTACTCAGGCAGTGAGTGGGGTGAATGGCCACCAACCCTGCTATCTTGCCTAGCTGCAACATAAAGAACCCCTCACCCTGCGTGATGCTGGCCCTGCTTCCCCCCTCTAGGTCATCCTGGCCTACCCTGGGGCCCAGCTGGCAGCTATCCTGGTCAGAGGACTCTGCTTGCTTCGAAGATGGTGGCTGTGCCTGTTCTGT